CCATTGTATGGATAGGCAGGGTTCTGTTTATCCATTTATCCATCTGTGGCCATTGAAGTCACTTCTACCTGTTAACAGTTTTAGAAGTTTGGCTCTTAGAAAGGAGAAAGAAAAGGGTTAGGTTCAGATGTTAGGATTACTACCATGAGGGTGGGTGTGGACAAGATCTTTAACGTGTCAAAATATCTCATTTGTACATTCTGTCTCTTCAGAAGTAGCCAGTGGCAAATAAGAGAAAGAGGTGGTATAATTTGGCACAGCAGTTTTGTGTCTGAGACTTTTAGGTGCACAGTTGGAGTCTTGCTCTGTTTGCTGGGCGTGTTTATAGGTCCTAAGTGGTCAGTTGTCTTTCTTCAAAGCACTGAGGAGATTTCAGTGAATATTAAATTTATGTGCAGTTCATCTCTGTTTTATTTTTTAAAAGTTTTAGTTGGAAGGTAGAGTGACAGGGAAGGAGAGAGAGAGAGAGATCTTTAGTCTGCTGATTTACTTCCCAAATGGCTCAAGGCCAAAGCCAGGAAGCAGAAACTCTGCCCTGGAGGTCAGGGGTCCAAACACTTCATGGTTACTCAGATTTCCCAGAGTTCTTATCAGGAAAGGATTGAGAGTCAAGGAGTTGGAGGTCAAACCAGTATTCTGAAACAGGACATGAGTGTCCTAAGCAGTGGCTTAACCTACTTTGCTGAGATGTCCACCCCCTAATCTCTGTTGCTTTGTGTGTGTGTGTGTGTGTGTGTGTGTGTGTGTGTGTGTCTGAAAAGACTAGGATGGACAGGAAGACTAGCATGCTGTTGTTGAGGCTTTTCCCTGCAGCTAGGCCCACCACATGGCATGTGAGCTCAGCCACTTACAACACAGGCTGCAGCTGGCTCTCCTAGGCACACTATGTTCAGCAGAATGTCCCTTAGTGCTCTCAATGACAGCGTGCATCAGTTGTTTCAGACATGTTGGAGTGACCCAAGTTTATGCCTGATCACTCCACTGTGAGTAATCCAATGAGAATCTCTGGTGGTATATCCTGGAATGAGTCATATTAGTTCTATTTTGTTGTCAAAATAATCTGAATTTAACTGGTGCTTTATTGCACTGATTCTTAATGTGAGGTTTTTTTTTTTTTTTAATTAATTACATTGCATTATGTGCCATAGTTTTATAGGTACTGGGATTCCCTCCACCCCTCCCCAAACCCTCCCCCCATGGTAGATTCCTCCACCTTGTTGCATTACCACAGTTCAAGTTCACATGACATTGTTTCATTGCAAGCATCTACCAAGCATAGAGTCCAGCATCTTATTGTCCAGGTAAGTTCAACGGCATGTAGGGGAGACCATCTCTGGTCTGAAGGTAGAGCTGGCAGAGTATCATCCCAATCAATGAAAAGCCCCAACATAACATCAGCAACAATTTATGATGTTATGGAATTAATTGAAATAGTATTGAGTAACCAATATGTTAAAAAAAAAAAGCGCACTACATAGGTGATAGAGGGCTAATCTCCAGAATATACAAAGAACTCCAAAGCAACCAAAATACCAAAACAAACAAGCCACTCAAGAAATGGGCACGGGAAATGGGCAGACATTTCACAAAGGAACAAACCCAAATGGCAAACAAACATATGAAAAAATGCTCCAGTTCCCTGGAATAAGGGAAATCCAAATTAAGACATCAATGAGGTACCATCTGATGCCAGTAAGATTGGCCCACATATGGGGAAACACCAACAACACTTGCTGGCGAGGATGTGGGGAAAAGGGAACCCTACTCCACTGCTGGTAGGAATGCAGGTTGGTACAGCCTCTATGGAAATCAGTATGGAGAACACTCAAACAACTCAAAATCTGCATACCATATGATCCAGCAGTAACACTCCTAAGAATATATCCAAAACACCTGTTACACAAGAAACCAACATGCACCCCTATGTTCATAGCAGCACAATCAGTAATTGCAAAAACATGGAAGCAACTGAAATGTAAGGGTTTTTAAATTTTTATTTTAAAGACAGTTATGGGGCCTGGCACCTTGGCCTAGTGGCTAAAGTACTTGCCTTGAACTCAGCAGGATCCCATATGGGCGCCAGTTCTAATCCTGGCAGCCCCACTTCCCATCCAGCTCCCTGCTTATAGCCTGGGAAAGTAGTCGAGGTTGGTCCAAAGCCTTGGGACCCTGCACCCGTGTGGGAAACCTGGAAGAGCTCTTGGCTCCTGGCTTCGGATCGGTGCAGCACCGGCCGTTGTGGTCACTTGGGGAGTGAATCTTCGAATGGAAGATATTTCTCTCTGTTTCTTCTCTTTTCTCTATATATCTGAATTTGCAATAAAAATAAATAAATCTTTAAAAAAAATAATACAGTTATGGAGAGACAGCAAGATCTTCTATCCACTATCCACTCCCAAAATGGCTACAAGGCCTGAGCCAGGAGCCAGGACTTTCTTTTGGGTCTCCCAAAATGGCTGTATGGTCCCAAACCCTTGAGTCATCCTCAGCTACTTTCCGCTTAATATAGCAAACTATTGGTTTTATAAGTTATCCTTGAAACATTTAAAGCCAACAAAAATTTTGAAGCCGCCGTAAAACTTCCAAAGTTCTAGAAGCATGTTTAATCATACACTGTACATGTATCTGTCTCATCTGTTCATCAGATATTTTTGAGTACCTGCTTATGCACTAGGTGCTGGTGCAAGAGAACTCAGTTAACTTGTGGAGCTTCTACTGCAATTCCATTCTTTCTGTTTGGATGGTGTTGTTTGTGGCTAACAATCACGATTGCTTACATAGTTTACTAAGTTCCAAGTGCTTCAGATATTTGTATTTATTTAATCCCCACAGCCGCAACACCCTAGGAAGTAGGGGCTACCATGGTCCCAATTTTGCACTGAGGCAGAGATGTGAGTTAATCTGTCTGAGGCACATATCCATTAAATGGTGGCCTGCAGTTCAGAGCCAGGCAGTGTGGCCCAGGGTCACTACATTCCTCCCTGCTTGTGGTCACTTTTGAACTATCTTAGCAAACTTAGTGCTGTTTCAAAGGTCCTTACACTATGATGATAGCTCAGAGAGACTCTTCGGAGATTCGTTCTGCTTTCTTGCCCTCTCTGGTCATGGTGGCAGGCTCTGGGATTTGATTCTCTAAGCCATCTGTTATCATGAAAGAAGCAGGAAACAAACTTTGGGCCATAGGAATAAAAGATCAATGAGCAAATCAGGGGTCATAGGAGGCATAGAGTTCTCTCAAAGTTAGGGCCAGATTGCAGCTCCTTTTTTCTTTGCCTTCCAGATGGTATATGTAGATGGCATATGTAGTTGCATGTTGTATTTTATTTCCCCTTTTCCTCTAATGTCTATGAAGCTGTAACAGTAGTACACAGGTTGTCCCGGATGACCCCTTCTCTCACAAAGGAACTCACTGCACCTGCTAGTCCTCTTTCTAATACATGAGCCTTAAATATTTATTGTCACTTCCATCATCACTAAAGAGAGATCAGTCTGTAAGGACAGAATTGCAAATAGGAGTACAGTTGTGACCACTGATTCTACAATCATATGATTGTGCATTTTTTTTTAAAAAGATTTCTTTATGTGTAGGGTAGCGTGAATCGGGGGAGGGAAGGAGCAAGAAAAAGAGAGAGAAAGGCAGACAGAGAGATCTTCCATCTGCTGGTTTACTTCCCAAATGGTTACAGCAGTCAGGGCCAGGCCGGGTGGAGCCTGGAGCTCCATCCAAGTGTCACACAAGTACTGGGCATTTCCTTCTACTTTCCCAGGCACAGCATCACTTAGCTGGCTTGGAAGCAGAGCTGTCAGATCACTGTGCCACAATACTGGCTTCAATTTGTGTGTTTTTGATCCAAGTCAGAAGTTCAAGTGAGTTACAAGACTTTTGGCATCTTTGGGGCAAGAATCATCCTATTCCAGTCTCATAACTTACTGCAGAGTCTGTTGAACTGAGCCCGGTTCCTGGTTCTGTTGAGGCTTACGGGGACTTCCTGTACTGATGTCCTATATTCCCTTGACTGTGTTCCTGGGGTCTGCATCTTAAGGGCTGGTGCTGCAGGCATAATCATTGACCCCCTTGAACTGTACCAGTGCTGTAACCTGCTCCAGTGCAGTCCTTCTGGAGAGGTATCTGATGTTGAAGCAGTTCCTATTCATTGGATGCTGTAGTCCCCAAGCATCTCGCTGCCATGCCTGTTGCCAATTAGGTCATGAACTTGACGCTGCCTTGAGCTGCAGCTCCTCAGCCACATGAATGTGTTGAGGTAACGCCACAGATGATTCTGAGCCACATACTGCTGATATTATAGGCACTTAGTTTAATCTGCCAGTCTATTATTCTTGAATACCCTGCTTGTTTCCAGTCATTGCCTATTAGATAATGCTATAGTACTCATCTTCATGATCATATCATTGTGCTCATTTCTGTTTTCTGGTGGAGATTCTTAGAAGTCAAATTCTAAGGTTAGTGAAAAGGAAGGATGTAAAGAAATGTGGCCAGTACTGTGGGAAAATGGGAGGCACCTGGTGCTGTGGAGAAGGCATTGAGACCTGCACCGAGTGGACTGTGCTGCCCAGGAGAATGGAATTTGGTACAAGTCCTTTGGTTTGGTTTCTCTTCCTTTGGTTTCATTTTCTTTTATAAAATGGACCCCATGGGGTCACTTGATTCTATTGATTTAATGGACATTACTTGGTCTCCATTTTGTCATAAAATGGAGCACAGATCTACTGGTTGGCATGATGGACTGGTATAACAGTGGGCTTCTCTTACTGTAATGGCGAGGACTTAGCTGAGAATTGCTTCAGGGTTTCAAAGAAGCTGTCACAATTCTCCACTATAAGGGGAAAAAAAAATCTAGAATATTACCTGGAAACCGGTCATTTTTAGATCTTGATAGACACATGGAGCTCAAAGAGGCTTCTTCTACACTTATACCACAGTTATGGTCCTAAAGTGGATTATTCCAGTAAAGATTAATTTCATTCTTTTATCTTTACAGGAAAACTTTATGGCGATGTTCCTTTTATAGAGGAAAGACACAGACATCGTTATGAGGTATGATCCCACGCTGGATGGTTGCAGAGTGTGGGTGCTGAGTGTGTCAGGGCCCCTATGCATAGCAAGTGGCTCTCTTGGATGCCATTCAGCCTGCTGGTACCTTTGAGCTCAGGGAAGATGTGCCACATTTCCCATGGTTTCTCGCCTCAAGAGCAGCAGAGTGTGGGTGTGGAAGACTCTCTTTCTCTTGCTTCTAGAGGTAGTATCTTTTAAGTACCTGTATGCAGTATACATCTAGAGATGGAAAATGGAAAGGAAGACATCATGTCCATGTTATTAGGGGGCTTACATTCTAAATGGAGAGGACAAAATGTTCAGTAAGAGTCATTACAAATCAGATCCTATGTATTGAGGAAGTGACTTCTAGGTAGAACATAATAGCTGTTAAAATAATAACAAAGATCTCAATAGACATTTCTCTAAAACTATACAAATGACCAATAAATACATGAAACGGTGGTAAATATTATTAGTTATGAAAGCAGTGCTGATCAACATCACAAAGACATGCCATTTCACACCAACTAGGATGGCTATAGTCAAAAGTTGGACAAGAAAAACGAGGATGTTGAATATTTAGACTCTTCATCTTTCGCACTGTAGTTCAGCCATTTTGGAAAATCCTTTGGAAGTTCCTTAGAAGGTTTAACTTAGAGTTGACATATGACTTAGCAGTTCTACTCCTAAATATGTCCTCGAGAGAAGTGAAAATATATATTCATGCAAAAATCAGTACATGAATGGTCCCAGCAGCATTATTCATAAAGGCCAAAAAAGTGGAAACAACTCATATGTTCATCATTTGATGAATAGAAAAGCAAAATCTGTTACATGCACACAATGAAATAGTATTCAACTGTAACAAGACATGAAATAATTGATACATTCTACACTACAGGTGTGTGTTAGTTTTGACAAGGACCGGAGCAAGTACAGTGGTGGGGGAATTAAGGCATGACAAGTATACAGGGCTTGTTTTTCCGTTGATTGTGTCTCACACTTGTGTGAATACACTAAATGAGTGAATTATGTTGTGTCTTAATTATATCTCAACAGAGTTGCTGCAAAAGGAAAGATAATTACAAATGATGAAAATTAGTGTAATGTTGAAAAGAGAAAGGCATAATGGGGCTGAGAGTGTGAGAGACAGATCAGAGCCCACTGGGATTTTAGATGAGGAAGCATTTTCAGTGAAACAGAGGTTGAAAAGGAAGTCTGGCTAGGAGAGGCCCTCTTGTCTTCTCTCCCCTCTACTCCTAGATACAGGAAGAAAAAAAGAAAATTGGAAACAATTATCTCATCTACTTCCCCCATTCCGTGATCCTCCCCACCCTGATCCTTGTCCATATGGATATACGTTCTTAACTATTTAAGCATCATTGAAAAGGAAATAAATGAAACAAGAAAGAAAAGGAAGCCTGGTGTTAAGTAAAGGGCTGGGGAGGGTGAGAGGAGTGCGGCTAGCAGCCGCGCACAGCGACCGGTACCTGACAGTCTAGTAGAGCGATCGCTCTAAGTTCCCTCTGGAGCTCTGATGTGATTGTTTAACGTGAGTGTTGAGGTCACTCGTGAGAAGTAGTTGCAGTCCTCAAGCAAATTTGTGATTGGGGGAGAGAGTGCGAATGCGGGAGGAAAGGTGCCGTGAGTGGGAAGCTGGAGCTTGATGCAAGGTTCTGAGGCGGACTGTCTGAGACTTTGTAGCTGTGGTTTATTGAGAAGTGAGCATTAGGCTTTGAGAGTTTAGTCTAGAAATGATTATTAGTTAGAGGCTTTCTGGGATGGAAAAACCACCCAACTGATGGAGGATTTGTCATAAGCTGCTCTGCATTTTTTCACTGAGGCTCCAAGATGCTGAATTTCTTATCTTTCCAGGTGAACCCTAAGATGATCAGCCAATTTGAGCAGAAAGGTTTAAATTTCGTTGGTCAGGATGTTGATGGAAAAAGAATGGAAATCATTGAACTGGCAAGTAAGTGAGCTCTTCAGTTTCCTAAAGCTTTGTGAGTAGATAGCCTCTTCGCAATGCCTGCACACTTGTTGGAGATCCAGTTTGTTCTCTTTCCTTTCTTTCATCCTGTGAATGAAGTTTTCAACTATAGAGTACATGAGGAACAGACTATTTAAAGTCCAGATTGTTTTGGGGCCTGTTAGTATGATTCCATCCTAATACAGTGTTTTGTCCTGGGTTGACAAGTTCCGGAAATTCTGTTTCCTCACCATGCACCACCTGCTCTTCATCTGTTCTGTAGTTCCAACACTCTGGGAAAGGCAGGCAGCTCAAGTTGAGTGGTACTCTGCTCAGAGTCCTGCTTTGGGGCAGACTGAACATGTGCTTGCCTTGCTTCTGGTCACCGGGCCTGGTGTCTGTTGTCTGCGACTGGCCTCCTCGCCTACCTTTCCCTATTGCTCATGCTCAGTGCTCAAGCTTGGGGCCACTTACTTGATGTCAGAACACTAACTCTTTGTACTCATAGGTCTTAATAAGACCACACAGAACACAAAGAAAGGGGTTGGCGTTTTCTTGAGGAAAAACCTCAAGGGAGTTGCTTGGGTCAGGTTGTCAAAGCCCCGGAGAGCACAGGCACACATCTTAGGTTCATTACTGACAAGGCAGCAGAGAGGATTCTCTACTTCAGCTGTGCAAGGACGTGGTAATGCCAAGGTCACTGCTGGTCCCAGCCCTTTGCCTGGGAGTCCTAGCTCAGAAGTTCGCAAACCAGTGTCTGTGGTCTAAATCCATGAGCTTTTGTAAGCTAAGAATCCTCTTTGTTTCTTTCTTTTTTACATTTTAAAATTGTTTTTAAAAAGAATGATATTTGTGATATGTGAAAAGTGTCCATCAATATTTTTATTGGAACACAGCTGTAGGGGTAGAAGGTTGTTAGCTTTTTCTCATCCATCATAAGGGTCATGGCTAACACACTTATAACAAAAGATTAGTTGACAAGAGAAACAAATGGCAGTTTTATATAATCAAAGTTTTGTGAAGGTGATAAGTTTATTTTTGTTTCTTTGAAAAACAGAGGGGCAGAGGAAGAGACAGCGAGATCTTCTATCTGCCAGTCCATTCCCCAAATGCCTGCAATGCCCAGGGCTGCATCAAGCCAAAGCTGGGAGCCTGGAGCTCAACCGGGGTCTCCCCATGGGTGGCAGGGACTCAAGCAAAGGGGCCATCACCTGCTGCCTCCCAGGGGCATGTGAGCAGGAAGCTGGAATTGAAGACAGACTCAGGATCTGATCCCAGACACTCGGTGTGGATACAGGCATCTCATCTGATATGCCAAATACCCACCCATTATCAAAACTTTAAGTGACATGGAGGCCTTGAGAAATAAAGTTCCAAAGACCTAAGAGGAACTCTTTCAGTTTATGTTTAGGGTCAATGAAGAATGGACAGCCATATGGACATGTGATTGGATCAAAGGATGTGATCGAATGGAAATAGACTGAGGGAGGGAAACCTGGCCGGGTCTGTGTATGCAGATTTTTCTTGGCTTCCTGGGCAACATTCCTTCCTTCCAGGACAGGGCACTGCTGTGCTGGGGGTCTTGTGACCTACTTCAGCCAGCAGGTCTTTGTGGCCAGCTTTTGCACAGAAAGATAGGGGAAGGTCAGAGGGCCTGGCCTCTGAGCTCCTCCCAATTTCTTTTGGTTCCAAGTACTTTTGGCTAGGGTAGTGATTTCACAGTTCAACCACAGCCATTCTCGTGCATGTATGTGTTATTTTTGCCTGCTTTTTATGCTACAGTAGCAGAGATGAATAGTTGGGAAGGAGACCTTAGGCCTACAAAACCTCACATATTTGCTGCTTAGCCTTTTTACAGAAATGTTTGCTAATCCACACAGAACTAACTTGAATTGAATATTGTCAGGTGCCTACTTGACCAGTTAGTCCAACTAGATCTTCTCTTGAACCTTCCATCTCAACTTCATTTGGGTGAATCTCAACTTCATTTGGGTGAAATTTACATGTTTTCCAAACTCCCTCTTCCTCCTGGCTATATCTTCTGCTAAGACATCACCTTGTAACATCTGCCTTGCTGCCGTTGACATTGGGAGCTGGACTATGCTTTGTGATGGTGCTTATCCTGTGCATTGTAGAGTTTGGCGGCAGCAACCCTGGCCTCCACTCACTGGGTACCAGTAGCACCTCACTTGCCAGTTGCAACAACGCAGAATGTGCCCAAGCCTTAACAGCTCTATCCCCAGGGTGTGTTTTCCCTCTTGCTTGTGAATCACTCTGCTACACTGGCAGGCTTGAACCGTGGCTTACTGGTTCTTTCCCTTCACACCCTTTGCTTGTGGTCAGGTATCAAGACCTGCAGACTCCATCTCTGGAAAGAATATTTGGCATTGTGTCTCTTCCTGACCACACTGCTCCAAGCACATGGTTACTCCAACTCAGATTTGCTCTTGAGCCCTCCAAACCTCTTGGTTTTCTCCTCTCAGCAGCTCCAAACAAGGCCTGGTCTCTGACTGTGATTCTTGAGCATTCCAATGTTCAAGAATCCACTTGCATTTATTGTCAAGTATGTACAGGAGCCTCTGTAAATGGCGGCATAATGTTTGAGAACCCACTGCTTCAACCTGTGTGCTTCAAGCTCTAGATAAACTCAACTGCTTACCGTTCCTCTAAGCTTCTCCCTTCTTTTTCCATACTTCTAGCACTCTTGTCTGCATCAAATTCCCTTTCACTTCTACTCTGTTTAGGTACTTCTGGAGTCCTGACCAGCGAAGAGAACTGGGGGTGGAGCAGGCTCCTTTGAATACACTAGCATTTTGCTTGGATCCTGAGTGAAGACAAGCAATGGCTGCTTAGTGGACACTCTGGTTGCCTGTTGCTAGACCCCTTACTTGGGACACTGCCTGCCTTGTGTAACCTACAAGGCAGGTGATGCTATTCCCATTCTATAGAGAATGGGGCTGGAGTGCAAGAGGCTAAGAATTTTGCACAGGTCCATCAATCACTGGTGGGCCAGAGAAAGCCCAAGTGCTCACCTCTGTCTACCACCACCTCTGTGGGATTTTATTTCTACTCTTGCTCTCTGCCTGAGATGATCAATCTATGATGGGAGTTGTGAATTAGGATAGTGAAGATGGATTTCCTGCTTGAGGTGTCTATCTGTAGAACTACAGTGTGGACCACTGCAATACCTGAGAGGATGGGGGATTTCTTAGGGAAATTACCAGTTGTTTATTTTTTTTTGAATATTCCTTCTCTTTTAATTGTTCTGGTTCTTGTGATCTTGAACAAATAATTAGAAGTCACTTTCATCACAAGGGTTTGATTCCCAGGGGCACTTTCAATTTCACATGGGTTGCAAAGGAAATGAAAGCTGTTATAAAACCTTGTAAATTTGAAAAGCTGACTGCAAGGGGATTGGTTTTATGAAGGGGAACTCCCCAGCAGAGTGGTCTTCAGTAGTCCTGGGAAGCAGATCTGTGAATCTCTGGTCTCAAAGGCTTCTGAGAGCAAACCTGGAGAGAATCACATTGCTTACAATCTCATGAGTGTGGATGATATCTCTTTTTTTGTGGGCGCACATTCCTGCAACAAGGTGGCATGCTCTCACCAAGTTTTTCTACTGGAGTATTCCTCTCCTATAACGAGACTTCTTGTTAAATATAGACGATTTCTGCGCTAGATTTTTCTGGGACCAGAGTTGTCTAATGGAACTTTCTGAAATGCTGGGACCATTTTGGCCTGTCTGGTATTGGCGGCCACCAGCCATAGTTGACCCCTGAGTGCTTGGAACGTGTTCAGTTAACTTTAATGAATTTAAGTGGCCACATGTGGCTAGAAATGACGTCTGCCATTTTGTATAGCAGAGCTTTAAAAAAAATAGTAGCGTTTGGATGGCCACTGGTAAGTGATGGACTTTGTGATTTTGAATTCCATACTCAAGTCTTAGGTCACCTGATGAAATCTTATGACAAGCTTTAAAGTTATCTTTTTCCTGAAACATTGTATTTTGTTATCTTAGTTTGTTATATCAATTGCAATTATTTTTCAAGTTGGGAACACAGCATACTGACCATGCTCTGTACAACAGCAATTATGAGATTAGAGAGTGGCTCAAGCCATGTGCTTTCCAATCTGGAAAAAGCTTTGATTGTTTTTAAAGGTTTGTTTATTTATTGGAAACACAGATGTACAGAGAGGAGGAGAGACAGAGAGGAAGATCTTCCATCCAATGGTTGACTCCCCAAGCAGCTGCAATGGCCAGTGCTGTGACGATCCAAAGTCAGGAGCCAGGAACTTCTTCCAGGTCTCCCGGACCGTCTTTGACTGCTTTCCCAGGCCAGAAGCAGGGAGCTGGATGGGAAGTGGAGCTGCCAGGATCAGAACTAGAGCGCATATGGGATCCCAGCATATTCAAGGCGAAGACTTTAGCCACTAGGCCATTGTGCTGGGCCCAAAAAAGCTTTGATTTTTAAATTGAAAGTAATTTGGAATCCTAGAAAATTTCATTTCAGATTTGGAAATGTTATCCATTTAATTCTGAAATGGGATTACAGATACTTGAAACTTGAAAACTACTATTTGGTTTCCAAGACCTTTACGAGAACTTAAATTGCCTATACCTGTGCTATGGAACTAACTTAATCCCTCCCCCATGATAATGTAATATATGCTCATTGTAAAAGTTTGCACAATATATGAAAGTGTTAAGGAAGAAAAGAAGATTATGGCTTCTCATTGCCCTGAGATATCATCACCGTGTCCATAGGGAAGACTGCTCAGAGACTATGCAAGGGAGAAATTGGCGTGGACTGAAATCAGAGTACCAGTTGATTTGATGGTGCCGTGACTTCTCTCCAGTGGAAAGTGTGACTAGCAAAGCAATTGTCCTTCTACCCCCAGGGGCATCCCCTGGGATCAGAGTTGTGTTGGTTTATCCTGGGCACCCTGTAGAAAATTACCTGGAGTTGTCTAAGACAAAGACTATCCCAAAGGTAGTCTAAAAAGTCCAAGGCTTAGCTTGGAGGTAGAGCCAAGTTAAGGCTTGGAATAGATTTTGGGCAAGCAGATTTCATTGTACTGGGCAAACATTTTTATTTAAGTTTGGTCACTCCTCCACCTTCCACTAATAAGACCCTGGGTCTCTCATTGAGATGTGTTTTATAGTTTGGAATTCTATTACAAAAATACATGATGAAAGTAACCAACTGTGATAAGTTAAATAACCATTCTACCGTTGAATGAGTTTTCTTATTCAAAGATAAGAGCACTTTTCAGGCTGATCTTGAGTTGACTTCAGTGGCATTGTGCTTGTTCTCATTTCAGATCATCCTTATTTTGTTGGTGTCCAATTCCATCCTGAGTTTTCTTCTAGGCCGCTGAAGCCTTCCCCTCCCTACCTGGGGCTGTTGCTCGCAGCAACGGGGAACTTGAATGCCTACATGCAGCAGGGCTGCCAGCTGGCTTCCAGGTAAGCAGCTTGCTGCTCCTAGCAGTGGCCCAGAATGCGCTGTTGCAAACACCTTGGCTCGCTCTGGAGATTTCACACCATGATGAAGTTACTGTTAGTTGAGGAATTGGCTCTTCCTCTTTATACACACAATGTCTTTCTCTTCATTAAGCTAATCAGATCTACAGCAGTGGAGTGGCAATTTTCCAAATCAGGCTGTGATAGCTAGCTGATCTCCTTTTAGACAGTTTTGTCATCTATGTAAGTGAAAAATAAGATTTCCTTTTTATTTTTTCTTTGATTCATTGATGTGACTACTTGATGTGCTGATTGGCTCTGTCTTGGAAGTGGCTTGCTTCTAGTCTTTGCCTCCTTTCCCTCATTAGTAGGTTATTTGTATGTAAGGAACATGAATCTTTTGTTAGCTTGCAAATGTTTTGTCATTTTGTTTTTCTTCTAAGCTGTTAATGGGTCACTTTTCATTCTTCCTAAAATGTGTGTAGTCCATCATTTATGTTTTCTAAGGAGAATGATGTGGTCAAATAGTTTACCTTTCTGGATCTGCCTTTAGCATCGTGCCTAAAGCCTTTTGCTAGGGAGGAATTACGTAAATAATATCCCAGATGTTTTCCTCCAACACATTTGTGGTTTCCATTTTATAGGTTAAGTCTGTAATCTGTGTGTATTACTCTGAGGGAATGTGTGCAGTAGCTGTCTTGCTCCCTCTCACCTCTCTGAAATTATTCGCAGAGTGATTTGCATTTGTTTGAGGATTTTTGGTTGCGTTCAGCTGATGAGTTACCTCTCCTGTGAAGCTTTGCTTTCTCACAGCTCTGCTGGAAGTACGGCCTTGCTCTGCCCAGTTCCTGTGATTCTCGACAGGTCACTTTGCTGCTTCTCCAGGTGAACAGTGCACTGGGCCATAAAGTCATGGTCAAGAGAACGATGCCTCAGGGAGTTCCACTGCACAGTGGAGCATTAGTTTGAGGATGGATTTATAGCTTTGCTGTTTCTTGTAGAATATTATACTTAATAATTGTGAAAACAGAAGGAACTGGCCAGAACAGCATCAACTTAAGTGGGGTAATTATGATAACTGGGCATATGTAGTTAAAAGCTTGCCGTTGTTGATCCTTAGCCTGGGCAACGACTCTTAGAATGTTGTGTGGGGCATTGCAGTGACCCGTGCATGGGATGCATGAGGGTACTTCAAACATGTGTGAGCAATGGACTTAAAAAGTGAGATGATGTTGATGGAAAAATGTTGAAATCCATTTTAGTTTTTCTAAAAACAGATTTTCGACAGACTTTATAAGTTCCTTGTGTGTATGTGTGTCATACAAGGTTGCTTCTTTTTTTTTTTTTTTTAAAGATTTATTTTTATTATTTTTTCATTGGAAAGGCAGATATACAGAGAGAGGAGAGACAGAGAGAAAGATCTTCCGTCCGATGATTCACTCCCCAAGTGAGCGAAATGGGCCGATACTATGCCGATCCGAAGCCAGGAGCCTCTTCCGGGTCTCCCACGCGGGTGCAGGTTCCCAAAGCTTTTGGGCCGTCCTCGACTGCTTTCCCAGGCCACGGGCAGGGAGCTGGAAGGGAAGCGGGGCTGCCGGGATTAGAACCGGCGCCCATATGGGATCCCGGGCGTGCTAGGCGAGGACCTTTAACCACTTGCGCCACCGCTCCGGGCCCAAGGTTGCTTCTTTAAAAAAAAATTTATATGCTTTGATTTGAAAGGTAGTGTTAGATTCGCCACTCGCCAAAATGTTAGATTCTCTGACCACCAGGGAAAGAATAATTCAGCTAAATATATGAAAAGAATTTAGATGGCATTTATTTCAGGGATCCACGGTCACGGCTTCCCTTCCCCGTGCAGCAGAAAGGGCAGACGGGAAGGAGTGAGCTGCAGAGGAAGAAGAGCGCAGAAGAGACGGGGAAGGGGCTCTTTTAGACTCTCCTTGACACGGAAGCCAAGACGGGGATCACCTCGGCCCTTATTGGTAGGGGCCATGGGTCTGTGTTCCTCATTGGTGCAGCGGTTGCCTCACTGCCTGAGGGGCCCACCAGAATTTCGCCATCCATTCCGGGTTTGGTTGGGGGTGAACTCCGCCCTTCTCCGGCCACCATGGTAGCCATCAGGTAAATTTACAGAGATTGGAGAGACAGAGAGAGAAGGTCTTCCTTCTGCTGGTTCACTCCCCAAATGGTTGCAATTGCTAGACCTGAGCTGATTCTATCTGAAACCAGGAGCCAAGAGCTTCTTCAAGGTCTCCCATGTGAATGCAGGGTTCCAAGGACTTAGGATATCCTCTGCTGCTTTCCCAGGCAGGGAACTGGAATTAGAGCAGCTGGAGCACAAATTGGTACCCATATGGGATGCTGGCACTGGAAGGTGGAGAGTTAGCCCTGTTGAGTCACGATACCAGCCCTCATGAAAGGTTGCTTCTTAGTGCTGTCTCCGCCGGGAGAACACACTTTCTAGCTCTTTCAACTCTTTGTTCACATGGGAGCCACTGTCCATATCTTGTGTGTTGAATGCCTTACTGAAACAGTGAGGGATGTTTTCTTGTCTTCTTTTTTTAAATTCATTTTTATTATTATTATTATTATTATTATTATTATTATCATTTTAAAAAGATTTATTTATTTTCATTGGAAGGCAGGTGTACAGAGAGGAGGAGACAGAGAGGAAGATCTTCTGTCTGATGATTTACTTCCCAAATGGCCACAACGGCCGGTGCTGAGCCGATGCAAAGCCAGGAGCCAGGAACTTCCTTCTAGGTCTCCCATGCATGTTCAGGGTCCCAATGCTCTGGGCCATCCTCGACTGCTTTCCCGGGCCACAAGCAGAGAGCTGGATGGGAAGTGGAGCTGCCGGAATTAGAACCAGCACCCATATGGGATCCTGGTGCATCCAAGGCGAGGACCTTAACTGCTACGCTATCGCGCTGGGCCCTATTATTATCAGTTTTACATTACAGTTCCATGGGCTCCTGGGATTTCCCTTATCTCCCCCCGCCCCGCCTCCACCTAGTTCCTCCATATCATTACTAAAGTGTAGTTCTTCATTCACAGTCATATGTCCATCATTGTGGGCATGGACAATCACAGAGAGTCCAGCATCCTATTGTCAAGATATAGTAAACAATTTCTTTGTAAATCCATCATTGTCTGGAAGTAGAGATGCATACTACCTTGTATCCTCACATCTGGAGATGTTAGTCTCCATTTCACAGTTACTGTACATCCCCTTAAATGAAAAGTCATAATACAAAATCAACAATAGAAAGAAAAATAGAAATTTACAATACCATGAAGTTAAATGACAAGTTACTAGATATGACAGTCTCCATTACACAACTACTATACATCCCTTAATTGAAAAGCCACAAAACAAAATCAACATCAGGGAGAAAAAAGAAATTAACAACACCTTGAAGTTAAATAACATGCTACTGAATGACTAATGTGTAGCTGAAGAAATGAAAATCAAGAACCTTCTTGAAGAAAATGATGCTACTGTATGATCTGTGAGTCATTGGAGAATTTAATCAGAAGAAAGTGTTTTGAAGAGATGAAACTAAAATAAAACATCAAGAGCCAAAAGCCATGTGATATAGTTTCCGCTGATTTTTGTTGGTGAAATCTGTCTCTTCTAGACAACAAACAGATGGGTTTTGTTATTTAATCTGGTGTACCAATCTATGACATTTGATTGAGCTTAAGCCAATTACTTTCAGGGTTACTACATATGGGTGATATTTTGGTCCTTCATTTTGGGAATGGGTTGTTCATTGGTTTAGTCTTCTGTTGTCATTTTACTGGGATGTTCTTCACATTTGCCTTTGGTTTTGGTAGGTGCTATTCCTCTTCTCTGTCAAGAGAACATCTTTAAGTATCATTTGTAGGGCAGGTTTGGAAGAGGCAAATTCTTTTACATTTTTTTTACTGTAGAAGAATTTTATTTCATTTTCAAAGACAAAAGAAAGCTTTGCTGGGCACGTTATCCTGGGCCAACAATTTTTTTCTTTTAGAATCTGAAATATGTCACTCCATTCTCTTCTTGCCTGTAAAGTTTCCTGTGAGAGATCTCCTGTGAGTTTAATTGACATTCCTTTATATGTCAATTGATTTTTTTACGTACACTTTTAATGATCTTTTCCTTATGTTCAACTGAAGAGAGCTTGATGGTCATGTGTCTTGGTGAAGATCAGTTTTGATTAAGCCTGTTGGAAGTTCTCTGTCCCTCCTGGATATTGTTTCCCAATTCTTTCTCCAGATTAGGGAAAATTTCCCCTTATTATTTCATTAAATATATTTGTAAAACCAGTTTCTGTTTTTACATCTTCTGGGACTCCCATAACTCTTTTTTTTTCATTGTTAATAACATTGTATTATGTGAAACAGTTTTATAGGCACTGGGATTCCCCCCATTCCTCCCACAACCCTCCCTCCATGGTGGATTCCTCCACCTTGCTGCATAACCACAGTTCAAGTTCAGTTGAGATTCCTTCATTGCAAGCATACACCTAGCACAGAGTTCAGCATCTTACTGTCCAGATAAGTTCAGGGGCTTCTTGGGGCGACCTTCTCTGGTCTGAGGATAGAGCTAACAGAACAAAGTCCCGGTCAGTTAAAAGCCCCAACAAAACATCAGCAACAATATACAGTGTTATGGAATTAACTGACATAGTATTGAGTAGGAAATATGTTAGAAATAATGCAAGTTCAATTTTTCAAAACACATGGGTTGAGACAGTATCAATGACAGGTTCAAAAACAAACAGACAAACAAACAAAAATCCCATAACTCTTATATTTGGCCTCTTAATAGTGTCTTTCAATTTTTGAAAAAGGCCTGATCCGGTTCTGCTTCCAGCTTTTTGTTTGTTTCCCCCCGGTGACAGGAAATATCTTCCAATTCTGAGATTCTTTCTTCTGTTTGCTTCATTCTATTTTGGAGACTACCCATTGTACTTTTAATTTGCTCCATTGTATTCTTAATTTCTGATATATCA